TTTTTTTTTTACTGTTAAAGTGTAAAAAAAAAAAAAAAAAAAAAAAAAAAAAAAAAAAAAACACATCATAGTAAAACCAATACCTTCTCAGCTTCGCATCGAAGCTAAAAATCACCCTGTATATATATATATATTGATTTTTAAAAATATTTTTGACTTATAAAATTAAATGAAAAAATTCTATTTACATAATTAAATAAATATATTAATAAAAAATTAAAAAGATATAAAGAAAAAAAATTTATTAAAATAAAAAAAGGTTTATAATTGGAAAAATCTACATACCTTGTTTAGGAGATGATTGAGGTTCTGGTTCATGGTTTTATTTATACGTGTAAATTATTAAATTTATTAAATAATAAATTGTAAGTTTTCAAAAAAGACAACTGCACGTCAATGATAATTAAAAACGAATGTGACAGGATAAGAAGGATTGAATCGGTTATATAGTAAAGAATAAAATGCGTAGGCGTGAACATTACCAGGGTGTCATTTTTCTCATAAAATACGTAAGACAGTCATTGTTACTGTACGGTGGTACCTTTGATGTTGGAAATATGCTTATATAAGCGTCTCGTAGTCGATGGTAAAATTCTTAGAAAACGTTTACATTGGGTTTCATCCTCTCCCTCCCGGTGTTTACCCGCTAGTCATAAGTTTTACCATTTTGGTAACGTATAAGTAGTTGACGTAAAGTATATCAAGACGTGTATTAAAATAATATTTAATATATATTAACGAGTTTAACTGTGTTAGTGCCAGCCAAGGCTTTGCACTGAAATACGCTGGATCACTATAATCTTATTGATTATAATTTGAACATAGATAGACAAATTCTTATAATGATATTTTGACAAGTTCTGAGTAAGTGTTAAGAATATCGATATCGGTTGGGAATTTATCAAAAATATTATTAGTAAAAACCTAGTACAGTATGATAAGAATTTGAAAAGTATTAAAAGTATATTAAATCATACCATATAATAATATCTACCATCCAAGTATTGTTGAAAAAAACATTTTAAGATATCAAAATCTTATAAATTTGATGAAATTATATTTTAATAATTTTTTATTTATGCTATCCTAGGTTAAGATACCTTACTTATTTAATGAACCTCGCCGAAGCCTCAACTTATTTGGTTTAAAGAACCGAAAGTCTGTCAATATTAGTCCTTTTAGAGGTTCGCAAAATCATTAACAAATTATGTATGTCTATCGTAAATATACTAATATAATTATTTATTATTGTGATTGACAGTTATTTTTGATAAATAGACGATTAAAATGTTTTAAAAACTTATTTTATTACTTAAAATATATAGTAAAATACAATAATAAAATGTGACAGTTTTAAGGAACTATTTTGACATGAGGGTCATTTCTAAGACTGCCCCTTTGATGTTTGAAATAATCATGTAAAAACTAATACCTATGATATTCATTTAAAAGAATAAAAAGATAAAAAAAAATAATTAATATTTTATTTTAGCTAGAATGCTTTTGGGATAAATTTTTAATCGAAACACTTAAAAAAAAGTTTATAAATCCCAAATAAAAACTCTACCTATTAATTTTTTTATTTCAGAAATCTCAGTGTACCATTACGTAAATGATAAAGGGATGTGCAAACAAACAAAGACAAATTATCTTGTGACAGAATTTGTGATTTTGGTATCGTTTTTCTTATAAATCTTTCTTCTACTTCACATATTCAAGAAAAATACTATAAAGTGCTTAAACTTCTTGGGTTTATTAACTATACTTCCAAAATTTTAATCTTGTTTTACCGTTTAAAACTTTTTATTGCTTTCTTGTTCGTCCTACATTTTATACTATGGGATCTAATGACTACTAATGTAAAAGCGTCAGTCGAAAGAGTTCAGAGATAGTTTTTGTGTTCATGTTCTCATAAGTTTAATATCCCTTGCCCTCCTATTAATATTCTCCAGTCATGCAAAAACTTGGTATTAATTTTCTATCTTATCGTAGACATGAGATTTATCTTAATTTTCTCTTCTCTCTCTAACGCCATAATATTGATTCTTTTAAGCTACTTTCCCATATATGCTTAAAAGTCCTACTATGTTCTACATTTTCTTTTGTCCCTATAATTATTCCACGTTACTCAAATTCACATCTTTCTATTTCTTCACCTTATGCGAACTGCAAATGCAGACCTTTCGTTTAGTTTATAGTAATACTAATTAAATGCACGGTTAATTTTCTTATTGTACACATTTTCTATTATGTAAATATTATAATCACATAACTATGTAATAACTATTGTATCTTATATCTTATATCCCATAAATATTTATATATTAGTCATTTATGTATTTATGAATAAAAAAATAAAATATTTGCAATTTAACATTCATAACTTATTCTGCCATTCAATTATATTATAAGTCATAATAGGCACATTAAATTAAATTAAAAATCTAATAATACAGTTGGAATTGTATCACTGGATTTAAACATGTCAAAATTTGTCAGCCCGACCATGTTTAGACTCTTTTTCCACAGTTTCTTTGCTAGAATAATATCTTTTGCCATAGAAGATGGTTCTTTAACTTGACAGTTACTATATGAAATATAAAAATTATTTTTGCTTTTCAATAAAATCAAAATGCACAAATACCTGTAGTACAGTCCTGTTTCTGTGCCAGCTTTTTCATCTATAGCACAATGAATTGTAGTCTGAGCTCCTTGATGAGGAGTTTTCAAAAATAAATATATGATAAAAGATAAAGAAACTAAAAATATCCAAAGATAAAAGTGGTTATGATAAATAATATTCTCAAAACCATCATGAATTTCGGTTTTAATATTTCCTGGGTGCAAACAATACAAATTTACCCTTGTACCTAAATACATAACATTATAAAGTTAATTTATAATAACTTTTAATAATATGTTCCAGTATCATAATTTCATTAAGAAATAATTGTTCAAAATTTTCTATGCATTTATATATTTCCTCACTTATATGTAGCTAAAAAAAACCCAGCACAGGAGGGTCGCGGCACAGTGGTGACGTGGCATAGATGGATCAAGTATAATGATATCTGACAGTGATTAAAATCACTATAAAAAAAAACGCTTCGATGCAAATCTTTAGATAGTGTTTAATTTTAAAAAATTATAAAGTTAAAAATGTAAAATACAAAATCGAAAATTTTCACACAATAGCATTCAGTAGCCATTTTCACCGTGAAGATAAGATAAAGTCCGAAATTTTTTTTTTTTTGCATAATAAAGTAAATTACATTAGATTTAATTGAAGTTATATATAAAAATGTCAGACTTTCCAGAACACTTTAAAAGTTAAGTTGAAAAAGTTCAACTTTCTACATGCTTTTTTTAGATTTGAACCCCCCTCGTATATAGTGAAATGGTTCGATTTAAAAAAACAGTATGTCGAATGAAAGATTTATATAAATACTACTTCTCATGAAAAAATTGTATTGATCCATAGATTTTTCAAATAGTTATAGCATAATAAAATTAAAAATGTAAAATACAAAATCGAAAATTTTCACACAAAAATAGCATTCAGTAGCCATTTTCACCGTGAAGATAAGATAAAGTACGAAAAATTTTTTTTTCATAATAAAGTATATTACATTAGCTTTAATTTAAGATATATATAAAAGTGTCAGACCTTCCGGAACATTTTCAAAAGTTACGTTGAAAAAGTAAATTTTTTGTGAAAAAGTTGTCATTTTAAATCCCCCCTGTTGGCAAGTAAAGGGTCACATATAAAAAAAAAATATACCAAATGAAAGGAAATGATATCATGCATCTATTTAAAAAATTATATTGATTCGGTTATTTTTAAAAAAGTTATAGCTATTTTAAGTAAAAAAAGTTCAAAAAATTTCGATAATTAGCGATTTTTAAATTTGTAATTTTTTTGGAGGTTTTTTTGAGAGCTGAGAAAAAATGGTAACAGACACAAAAAAAAAACACATCTTAGTAATACCAATACCTTCTTAGCTTCGCACCGAAGCTAAAATAAAAAATTTAGATTTTTTTAATATTTAATATTATTGTTAAATTAAAATTTTGTTTATGGTTCTAGTATTAAGTTAAATGGTTTATTATAGAATAAAATGAAATAATAACTCTTAATGGTCTATTAAAATATTTCAGAAATCTCGGTGGACGGAAATGATTACGGTATTACGAAAATGATAAAGGTGCAAAAATGATATGTAAAAAACCATCCTGTCTTCATTATAGACGTGTTCACATACTTTAATTTCTTATAGAATTTCATAAATTCTATATGAAATATTTGATCGAAATCTGCTAACGATTTTCTTAATTAGATCATTCTTCAATATATATTAGAATTTTTTTTTAAGATAATAAGTTTACATATTTTAAGAGGTGTATGTACAAAAAACCTCTTATATAGTTCAATTCTCAATTGAACTAATATAGTTCAATTATAGTTGATATAATTAATATAATTATTATTTTGTTAATAGTATTAGTATTAGGTTCGATAGTTCATAATAAAAGAATAACTCAAAGGAGTTTATCAAATTTTTTTATAAATCTAGATGAACCATTATTGAATGAACGTTATTGATTAAAAAATACTCAAAAAAATGTATTTTTGACGAGTCTACTAGTCCTTATTTCAAATTACACTCATGTGCACGTAACTTGCACACCAAGTTTAGAAAATATGTGAGTGACATACTAAAATAAAAAATTCATAAAATCTAAAAAAAAATTAAAATTGTCATTAACCCACGTTACAAAAGCTTTGCGTCTTTTATAAAATATACTACTATTATTGTACCTCGGTGAACCATAAGGTGATTGATAAAGGAATGTTCAAAAGATTGTATCATGTCTTCATTTCAAATTAAAGACTCGTGTACAAAATAAACAAACCAAGGCTGGAAAATGATTAAATAATAATATAAAAACAATTCTTATCAATACCTGCAAGTCTGGTTGCTAATTCTTTCGTAAAAAGTATATTAGCAAGTTTGTTTTGACAGTAGGCTTCCATTGGATAGTAATCTTTTAGATCATAGTTAATCTAGATCTAAATCTAGATGAACCATTACGTTATTGATTAAAAAATACAAAAAAAATGTATTTTTTACGAGTCTATTCGTCCTTATTTCAAATTACACTCATGTGCACGTAACTTGTACACCAAGTTTAGAAAATGTGTGAGTGACATACTAAAATAAAAAATTCATAAAATCTAAAAAAAATTAAAATTGTCTTCAACCCACGTTACAAAAGCTTTGCGTCTTTTATAAAAGATACTACTATATTTGTGCATCGGGGAACCATAAGGTGATTGATAAAGGAATGTTCAAAAGATTGTATCATGTCTTCGTTTCAAATTAAAGACTCGTGTACAAAATAAACAAACCAAGGCTGGAAAATGATTAAATAATAATATAAAAACAATTCTTATCAATACCTGCAAGTCTGGTTGCTAATTCTTTCGTAAAAAGTATATTAGCAAGTTTGTTTTGACAGTAGGCTTCCATTGGATAGTAATCTTTTAGATCATAGTTAATGTCATCAAAATCATAATTTTTAACTGAAAAAAATATCTTATTTCATCATTCTTTTTATTATTTGAATTTAAAAATAAAAATTTGCATGTTATAAGTTAAACTGACAAAAAGTATGACTCATTGATGACACATTGATGATTCGAGCAGGCGATGAGTAAATTATTCTTGGCAACAAAAGACAGGTAAATAAGAAATGTCCTAAATAATTTACTGCAAATTGTGTTTCAAAACCATCTTCAGTTAAAATTTTTTTAGACATCATTAATCCTGAAATATGAAACATGTACATTACGCTTGTTAATCAATAGATAGAAAACGACAAATTTGATAAAAATTTTTGATGCATCAATTACCCTGAAATATGCATACATAGGGTTTATTTATTATAAATCAATCTATTACTCACGAAATAATCACAATATCGGAAAAAAAGTTTTTATTTCTTTAGATATATTTATGATCTTTAGGATGGTAGAGGTAAGAATTGGACTTAGAAAGGGTGATGCCTTGTCAACAATCATTTTTAATTTAATTCTAGAGAAGGTGAAAAGTTATATTTTTATTATATATATATATAAACAAATTTTTATTTTGACTGACCAATACCGCCCGCGTGTAATGCGCCTTACGTATATATATTTATATATTCCTACCACCGTTTATACCTCAGGTATAACGTTAGTCCGACCCGCCCGCCCACAAAATACGGTTATACCTATACTTGTATAAATATATNTGGTTATACCTTTACTTGTATAAATATATATTCTAATTACTATTAAAATTTATTTATTAACACGCTTTATTTTAATTAAGAGATATAAAGTATTCATTCCGATTACGAGCGATGATTTCCGTATCGTCATTTTCCGTCACTATCTCCACGTTCCGGGAGTGAGTAATTACGCGCCTGCCGCTTTCCTTGAATGTGGTAGCCGTTCCTTTGACTCCCTCTCCGGAATCGAACCCTGATTTCCCGTTACCCGTTACAACCATGATATTGATAGTAACTACTATCATAACATAAAACTAAAAAGTGAAAAATAAATATAGTTTAAAAAAACTAAAAAAACACGTTTTTAAAGCACATCGAACTAAAAAGTTAAAAATAATTTTTAAAATAAGTTTAAAATAATTATGAACAAAAAATACTAGTATTATTGTGATAAAAGCGTCGGGCGCTCAATATACGAAAAATATGGCACAAAGCACCCACGCTTTTATCACAATAATACTAGTATTTTTTGNGAGCGCCCGACGCTCAATCTTGGCAACAAAAGACAGGTAAATAGAAATGTCCTAAATAATTTACTGCAAATTGTGTTTCAAAACCATCTTCAGTTAAAATTTTTTTAGACATCACTAACCCTGAAATATGAAACATGTACATTACGCTTGTTAATCAATAGATAGAAAACGACAAATATGATAAAAATTTTTGATCCATCAATTACCCTGAAATATACATACATAGGGTTTATTTATTATAAATCAATCTATTACTCACGAAATAATCACAATATCGGAAAAAAAGTTTTTATTTCTTTAGATATATTTATGATCTTTAGGATGGTAGAGGTAAGAATTGGACTTAGAAAGGGTGATGCCTTGTCAACAATCATTTTTAATTTAGTTCTAGAGAAGGTGAAAGGTTACAAAGATAAAAAAAAAATTAAATGTGTTGGCCATAACGGATAAAATCCGCAACCTTTCATGGCACATTGAAAAATACAATAGAGGGTCGTCACCCACTAGGTGAGACAATGTATTGTCGGACCACAGTAGGATTTAAAAATAAAAATTAATATTGTAATTTAAGTAAATAAAAAAAAAAATAGAAAACAAACCAAGGTTGTGTTTGATATTTGCTGAGTCGTTGATAGTTGATATACATCAAAACCTCGTGACAGTTGTCACATAATCATGATGATCAGGGATGACCTTATACAAGGCCGTTTCCCGTACCTTATAAACTTGGGGGAGTTGAATTTTGAAAGGAAAAAATACGAAAACTCACTTTTCACTACTAGTCATTACTTTTAATTGTTAACTTCTGAAATACTGGTCCAAAAATTGACCAATATTTTTTTAAATTAAATTATTTTCTAATTTATAAGCTAGTCAAATATGTATGTTGCCATTTAAAAAATATAGTTGATACTCTTACACTCAGGACCTACAGGTTATAAGATATGGTTTTTTCAGTATTTATTTTGTGAGTAATCGAGTTATTTAGGAAAAGCCAAACATTTTGTACACAAACTTAAAATATTTTGTCAACTTCATTATTTATTTTATTGCTAAACAATTTTTTATAGCAATTATTTTTCTAAAATTTATACTTCATAAAATTTAAAATTAAATAAAAATGTTATCATGTATTTTTATTATTAAAAAACAATGATAAAATATGTAATTTTTATCGTACTTAATGAATATATAACTGATTTTTGAAACTTATATCAGAATGATAGTTGTATAGACACGATCCGCCAGTGTTTGACAACCGGTCATCAAAAGTATATTAGGAATCAAGTAAATTAAAGAGGTATGGTACGGTATTAGAACCAGTGACCAAAGGTATTATAAAGTAAACATTACTACTAAGTCATTGTGCATTTATGACTCAGACTCCGATACACTTCCATGTAGGTTGATGATATGATATAAGACTCATAGTTAGATCTGTTCTATATTGCATAAATAAACTGAATTGAAATATCAATTTACGTATATATATATACGTAGTGTCATTTAAAGTAAAAAACGGTAGCACAGTGGGGTCGAGGCACAGTGTGGACGAGGCATAGATGGGACAAGTATAGATGATATCTGACAGTGATTAAAATCACTATCATAAGAAACGCTTCGATGCAAATCTGTAGATAGTGTTTCCTTTAGAGAAATTGGTGAAATATTTTAAAAGCAACATGAACTCTTATTTCTTTAATTATATCCTGATTAGTAGTTCTTTGATTTTAAAATATAATATATGAATAAATACTAATTATAGTTTTTAAATTTAGTATGAAATTGTGAGGCCAGCTATGATGTATGGTTAATAGTGTTGGGCGGTTGATAAGAAAGTAGAGCAGAGAATAAGTGTAGCAGAGATGAGAATGCTTAGTTGGATGAGTGGAGTGACTAGAGAAGATAGGATAAGGAACGAGCATATAAGAGGAAGTATAGGTGTTGCGTCAATCGTGGATAAGATGACAGAAAATAGACTTAGATTGTTTAGTCATGGTATGAGGAAAGAAGAATCGAAAGCTGTAAGAACAGTTATAGAAATGAATGTTGAAGGAAGAAGAGATAGAGGAAGACCAAAAAAGAGATGGAGGGATGCTATTGAATGCGATTTGAGGACAGCTGATGTGAGCGTAGAAGATGTGGGAGATCGTGTCAAGTGGAATCTTAGGATAAGGGTGCCCGACCCCAAGTAGTTGGGATTAAGGCAAAGAAAAAGAAAAATATTACCAGATATTCCGGTGGCAATTGACATAATATGATTGTTATTTCGGAATGTACAATTTAGCGTTTAGTTGGGTTTAAATAATATAGCGTCAAATCAATTACCTACTCTATCGGTTGTATCTCAATATACACTACACTTTAATGATACAATAAATAAATAAACTCACACATACACACATATGCATTTATAACATTGTGTCTAATGTAAGTATAACATGATAAAAAGTAACCGTAAAATGAAAAAAATGGAATATAAATTTTATTACTCATATTAAATGTAATGTAACTCGAAAAATATTTGTTTAAATGAAAAAATATAAGATTATATTTTTATTTATAATTGTCTTTTAAACAACTTTTGTGCGAAACTTTTTTTTGTAAGTTAAATATTTTTTTTTGAGAAAATTAAGAAAGCTCATATTTTTGAACTTTTGCGAGGATTTAAAAAAAAAGCTCAATTCCAATCTTGAGGACTATTAGTATGTCATTATACATATTTTAATTCAACTTTTAAAAAAACAAAATTTTTTCCGCAATTTTTCCTTTGTTGACTGGCCTAGATGTCAATTTTAAACTTGTAATTGAGCTAAAAGTTATGGTAATATATTCAATTTATTTTACTATAAACTTTCATAAATCTTTATCAAAAATTTTTCATCAACTTTAAAGAACCAAAAAAATAGGTTAAAATTGAAAATTTGGACTGATTATTTTTAACATATTAAAAATCAAATCAGTAATAATTTGAAAACAAATTTTTTTTTCTTTTAATTATTATTTTATATATATAATTAGTAATAATATAAAAAATTAGAAGTGATAGAAATAGTCTACTTGCAGATTTGAAAACAACGCGAAAAGTTGATTTAGAAAAGTATATTTTTGCTTCTGATGAAAGTTCCTTGTAGTCCAGTGCATTTTTTTATAGTAACAAACAGTTTTTATTGAAAATTATTGTATCAAGCCCTTTAAATTTTTATACACGTAAAAGTAAAGCAAAATATAACTTCTTTATTATTTTTATAATTTCTCCGTTTAAATTACAATATTAAATATCAATTTCATACTAAATTTAATAATTATAATTAGTATATATTCAAATATTATATTTTAAAATCAAAGAACTACTAATCATGATATAATTAAAGAAATAAGAGTTGATGTTGCTTTTGGAATAATCCACCAATTGCCTAATTAAAACAAAAAAAAAAAAAGTTTGTTGGGAATTTTTTCTGCTATTCTGCAAAATTACTCCTTCGTTGACTAGAATGAATCATTAAATAGAAAATTTTATGAGAATTAAAACAATGTTATTTTTAAGATTAATATGCAGTCAGAAAGTTTTATAATTATTATTTATTGTAAATTTATCAGAAAAACTCATTATTTTTTGCATTTTTATCGTAATAGAACACTTAAATAGAAATCATAGTAATCATTTCTAAGTAATTTTTGATATTTAAAAAGATTCTACTATTGAAATATCCAGAACTGAATTAATTTTAATGATTTACTTTAACTAAAAAAAAAAAAGTTAATATTTTGAATCCCTCTTGTGGGCAGGTAAAGGGTTAGATTTATAAAAAAAACCAAATGATAGATAAAGACATGCATCTAAATAAAAAAAAATATACTGATTTGGTCATTTTTGATAAAGTTATAACAATTAACAAAGTTATAAGTTTTATACACTGGACTACAAGGAACTTCCATCAGAAACAAAAATATACTATTCTAAATCAACTTTTCGCGATGTTTTAAAATGTGCAATTAGACTTTTTCTATAACTTCTAAGTTTTAATATTATTAAAAAATAGTTTTTACATATAAAAAAAAATAATTAAGAACAAAAAAAATTGTTTTAAATTAATACTGATTTGATATAATATTTAATATTAATTTGATTATTAATAAGTTAAAAATAAGGAAAATGACATATTTAACCAATTTTGTTAATCGTTTAAAGTTGATTGTTGTAAATGTTTATAAAAAAAAAAAAAAATTTATTTTACCATAACTTTTAGCTCAATTGGTAAGTTTGACATTGACATAATTAAATAGAAAATTTTATGACAATTAAAAAAATTGTATCGTTAAGATCAATATGCAGTCAGAAAGTTTTATAATTACTATTTATTGTAAATTTATCAGAAAAGCTCAATATTTTTTTGCATTTTTATGGTAATAGATAACTTAAATAGAAGTAATAGTAATAATTTCCTAGGAACTTTTGTTGTTTGTTGAAAAGATTCTATAATTGAAATATTGAGAACTTAATTAATTTTAATGATTTACTTTAACTAAATGTACCAATCAAAACAAAGTTGTTAAAAAGATTTACTCAATTGAGTTTATTATAAAATTTGATTATATTTGTAAAAATCAATTGTTAATTCAGGAGAAAAAACAATCATTTTTTTTAGAAATGATTTATATAGCAACACGTTAGAAAAAAATTTGAATATTATAGTCTAATAGTAGCACACACAAACAGAGTAATAAAATTATTAAATTACAAAGTAAAATGATTTAATTTTGTAGTTGAAACCTATCATATCAAACTTCATTCGTTAATAAATATTTTGAAAACATTAGAAATTAATGATTTTAATTGTCTTTATGGAGACGATGTAATAACTAACTGTTTAATTGATAAATTAGAATTTTTTTTTCAATTTTTGAGAGTAATATCTTCAACTAGATACGAATTGTAGTAATTTGACGTATTGTTGAAAAAAGTAGGTCAAGTTAGAGCAGAGAAAATAAATGATAGTCACAAAAAAATATCTTCTCGGCTTTGCATCGAAGCGAAAACTTAAAATATAGTAAAATAATTTTAATACGAATAAGAAATTTCTTCTTGCAAGGGGCGACTAAAGTGATGGGATCCTTGATCTTTATTGAAGTTATTGAATCTAAATGTGATAAAAATCAAACGAGTTAAAATTTATACTAACTTAAAAAGAATTAAGAAAAAATGCAAAAAATTCATTGCCATATGCGGGTTGGAACCTCGTACCCCAAGCGTGTAAAACATAAATTTTACCAACTCGGCAACCGTACGTTGCTTCCGGCGGTTGAAAAATTGGCTATTTAAGCTAGTTCAAATTTCAAAGTTATTTTTCTCGACTTAAAAGAAACAAACATATTTAAATAAGTTTAACTATCTATACTATATCAATTTTAATTTATATAATATTTATGAAAATCTGTACTCCCCTTGTCAGGTATTTTAAAATAAAATAAAATACAAAACCCAGAATTTTAACACAAAAATAGCATATTTTTGCATACGGTAGTCATTTTCACCATGAAGACAAATCCAGAGGTCAAATTTTTTTTTTTCAAATTAAAGTATATTACATAAGCTTTAATTTAAGATATATTTAAAAGTGTCAGTATTTCCGGAATACTTTCAAAAATTAAATTGAAAATATCTTAGTAACAATACGCATGTTTAAAGTTTTGACCCCCCTTGTTAAAGGGGTATGATCCGATTTACAAAAAAAGCGTGCCAGATGAAAGGGGTATATAAATATTTATTATAAAAAAATAATAATATTGATCCATACATTTTTCCAAAAGTTATATAAAATATAAATTAAATAATATAACATATAAAATCGAGATTTTTTTCACGGAAATCGTACGTTTTTCTTTAACTTTGATGTCCGTTTTCACCACGAAGACAAGTCCAGAGGTCAAATTTTTTTTTTTCAAATTAAAGTATATTACATAAGCTTTAATTTAAGATATATATAAAAGTGTCAGTCTTTCCGGAACATTTTCAAAAGTTAAGTTGAAAAAGTTCTACTTTCTATACGCATTTTAAAAGGTTTGCACCCCCCCTGTATAAAGGGAAATGGTCCGATTTTAAAAAAAAGTATGTCGAATGAAAGAAGTATATATAAAGTATTTATCATTAAAGAATAAAGTTGATTCATGCATTTTTTAAAAAGTTATAGCAACATAATGTTAAAAAATGTAAAATATAATATCAAGAATTTTTTCACAAAAATAGCATATTTTTGCATACGGTAGTCATTTTCACCATGAAGACAAGTCCAGAGGTCAAATTTTTTTTTTTCAAATTAAAGTATATTACATTAGCTTTAATTTAAGGTATATATAAAATTGTCAGTCTTTCCGGAACATTTTCAAAAGTTAAGTTGAAAAAGTTAATTTTTTGTAAAAAAGTTACCATTTTGAAACCCCATCCTTTGGGCTGTTAAAGGGTCAAATGTTCACAAAAATATATAAAATGATAGGTAAATATTTAAGGTATCTATAAAAAAAAAAATTATATTGATTCGATCATTTTTAAAAAAGTTATGGCAATTTTAAGTAAAAAAAATTGAAAAAATATCGAAAATTAGCGATTTTTAAATTTGTAATTTTTTGGGGGATTTCCCCCGTTTACGGGGAACGAGGGAATTTTTTTCAATTTTTGAGGGTAATGTCTTCGACTAGATACGATTTGTGATCTTTTGACATATTGTTCATCAAAATTGGTCCAGCGAGAGCTGAGATTGAGCGTTCACAGACACAAAAAAAAAAATAAATAAATAAAAAAAAAAACACATCATAGTAAAATTAATACCTTCTCAGCTTCGCATCTAAGCTAAAATAAATAGTATATATGTACAATAATAACAATAATTGCATAATTTCTTCATTTAATTATATTGCAACCCCAGTATTCAAATACTTTACAAAATAGTATTTAGACTTATCATGCAACTCCAGTTAATTTTATTAATTCGAACTTATCAAATAATAATTTGTATACAGGTTATAGGAAGAATTTAAGAATTTTAAATTATGGATCAAAAAAGTTTAAGACTTTCGAAGTTTATGTAAAAACCTTTTATACTGATAATATTACAAACAATTCTTTTTAATTTATGTTATCTATTATAAGATATTCTTAAATTTTATTATTTGATGTATACAGACCGGCATTATTGATTAGTAAGTGAATTTGATTTTCTCTTTCTAGAATTCTTTTAGCGCATCTTTTTATAGAAGAAAATGATGACAAATCAAGCTTTTCGACAATTAAAGTCCCCAAACCTTCTCCTTGTACTTCTGTTTTTATATCCAACAAAGCTTGGTCAGCTTTTTTTACATCACGACATGCCATTATGACTTTTGCACCTTAAAGCATATAAGTTTTAAATAAGGTCTATAATAAAAATTATTATTGAAGAAACTATGTAAATTTGCAGTGTTATTTATCTTTAATATATAAAGATAAATTTGGGTAGGACTACAAACCAAATTTTCGTTGTTAATTTATTTCTAACAAATTGTTCCCAATTATTTTCTTACACTTCTGCTTTAATATCCAAGAAGTCTGAGAATGCAGAGTCGAGCACATTTATTATCAATCCGTAATGTGGAATATATTTGTTCAATCCAGGATCAAATTTGTCAATATGAAAAATGGATTGAATCCGTCAATTTAAATTACGGATTAAATATGGGTTACGGACTTCTTATTAAATCTTTCAATTCGGCTAGCTAATTAAATCCGCTAACTCTATTTATACTATATGAAATAATTGTAAAATTAATTCATTTATATCAAATTTATTCCATTACAAATTACTTAAAGTTGAAATAGAAAATTGTAGCATGATGAAAAAGTGTGATTTATTATACTAATAACTTTTTTTTTTTAGTTCGGGTGGCGATTACATATAGAAGACAAGGTGTTGGGGTAAATTTTATTTTTATTTATACTTAATAGCATATAAATTAATTAAATATAATTTTGAATTCTAAAGTTTTTCCGGAACATTTTCAAAATTTAAGTTATATATTTTCTCTCATCTTATCTACGATTGATGCTTAACTCCCTCTTATAAGTTCGTTCCTTATCCTATCATCTCTAGTCATTACACTTATCCGACTAAGCATTCTTATCTCTACTACACTCATTCTTTGATCTATTCTCATATCAACCGCTTCATACTCTGAACATTACGTCATAGCTAGTTTCATTACAGTCTTATAAAACTTATCTATCATGCTTACTGGAAATTCTCTTGTCATATAATACAATAGACGCATCTCTTCACTTCAACCACCCGCACTTAAACCTGTGTCTTACATCCACGTTAATATCACCACTTTTTTACATAACTGATCCTAAATACTTAAAACTTTTCACCTCTCCTATCACGTCCTCGCTTTTTGTCAATAATCTTCTCATCGTGTACTCCTTTTTCAAACTCGTACTTTATATACACTGTGTTACTCCTACTTATTCTTAAATCCTTTTCTTTAAGAGCTGATCTCCAAACATCTAGCCTTTGATTAATTTCCTCCTTATTTTCTTCTATTAACACTATGTCGCAAAAAAAATACACCACGTTACCTCTCATTGTTGACTTACCAGTAATAAATCCAAACTATTTCAATACATACGTGATACATATCCACTCAATATTTTAAACTGGTTATTACTTAATAAGTACTTATTCAAAAATTGTTAATTTTAGATACCGATATCTCATTTTCTTATTCTATTATCTATTACCTTTTCTCATAGTATCACTATACTATTCTTCCAATCTTTTGAGATATTCCCTTCTAATAAGATTGTTTGATAATGGGGAAAAACAGGAGATAATTCTGTTATAGAATAGGCGGTGCAACGTAGGTTTTGTATTGTAAGTTAGTCGTAAACCGAACATCGAAAGTCCGGCGCACCTAAAGATTTATTCGGATGTGAAATGTAAGTTAATCGTAAAAAAAATACAGTCTACATTATTAACAAAAAATAGAGTGTTCTTTCTTAAATTTAAAATACCGTGAGCTACCGACCAAAGATTTTATTTAAAAGATTCATCAACCACCTTATATTAACATCGCATAATATTTTTCATACTTCTACTGGCACTTAATCTGGTCTTACTGCTTTATTATTTTTCATTAATGCCACAGCCTCCCATACCTTTTTCTCACGAAAGAGTAATTTTGGCAAATAGCAGAAAAAATTCCCAACCAATTTTTTTTTTTTAAAGTTGAATTAAGATATGTATAATGACATTCTAAAAGTCCTCATTGATTGGAATTGAGCTTTTTTTTTACACTCACACATACACACATATGCATTTATAACATTGTGTCTAATGTAAGTATAACATGATAAAAAGTAACTGTAAAATGGAAAAAATAGAAAATAAATTTTAGTACTCATATTAAATGAAAAATATTTGTTTAAATGAAAAAATATAAGATGCCTTTTTTGTTTAAAATTGTCTTTTAAATAACTTTTGTACGAAATTTTTTTTGTAAGTTAAATATTTTTTTAGAAAATTAAAAAAGCTCATATTTGTACTACTTTTTATTACTCTTTATGATTATTTGAACGTCCTTATTCAATCACCAGTTTTTCTTGTTTCCTGGCGTTCTACTCCTATTCTCACCAAAAATCTCATTAGCAGTATTCTTTCCATAACTAGCAAATAATCACACATCATTTATGTCTCCCTCGATACTTCACATCGTCCTTTCTTTTACCGTCATAATAAATTATTTTTCAATTTCCACTAACGGATCCTCGATTTTTCTCAAGTGTTTCTTCTGTTTTAGTATAGTATACGTATTCTTATCCCCTATTCATAGACAATTTAATTTCTTCTATTTTATAAGCTATAACAGTTTTAAGTAAAAAATAAATTAAAAATTGATCAAAATTAATAAACAAAGTGGGTACATTGTATTAAATAATTCAAAATTTTTATTAGTTATCACAACATATACTGTAAAAATTAATTTTACTCAGTGGCGGATTTGTGGGAAGGTCCAGAATTTCACATCCTAGACACTGATATTTTTGCTTGGCGGCAACGTTTTTGTTGAATATTTAAAACGATTTCATGTAATATAAAAATATTAAGTTTATTCTTCAACTAAATGTTATTTATTTTTAAAAACCTAAAATCTCTCTATAAACGAAAATGATAAATAAAAAAAAAAAAAAAATTGTATACCAATTCTGTAAAGCTCTTTTGCTGTTGCTTTACCAACTCCTCGACTTGAACCTGTAACAATAGCGACTTTACCATCCAATCTACATTTACTTGTACATTTTCTACTAAACATTTTTATTATATTCTCTAATTATTAAAAGTTTTTTTGTAAAAATAAATTGGAAATCTTCACAAGTGAACGCATAAAAATGATTACAATAATGCTAATAAATACTTGCTTTAAAATTGTGTGGGAAAAATAATGAACAATAACTGGGGAGTATAAAAACTCTCTTTTATATTTTTTTATATTATATACAATTAAACTATAATAAACATTAATTAGCGTTATAATTGCGTGAAATATATTTAATATTTGTAAATAAATACTGAATAATCTTTTATTATAATAAATATAATATTTAAATTTATAAAATACATTAATTTAGTGTCAATTATAAATTAAATTCAAGTGTATGGCAAAAAGAACAGACGAAACATATATAAATATTTTATTATTATAATAACGATATCTGAAGGACATTGTATACTGTTTTAATAAATATTCAATTTATTTATATTATTTTTAATTATATTTAATACAATATCTTAATTAATTATAAATAAAATTTTAGTATACACTTTAAAAAAAACGGTAGCACAGTGGCGTCGAGGCACAGTGTGGACGAGGCACAGATGGGACAAGTATAGATGATATCTGACAGTGATTAAAATCACTATCATAAGAAACGCTTCGATGCAAATCTGTAGATAGTGTTTCATTTAGAGAAATTGGTGGATTATTCCAAAAGCAACATCAACTCTTATTTCTTTAATTATATCCTGATTAGTAGTTCTTTGATTTTAAAATATAATATATGAATAAATACTAATTATAGTTTTTAAATT